TTTGGTTTGTGCTGCAATTTGAAGTATTTGTTTTGAATGACCAGTTTTTTATCTTGCCTAGGATACACAGAATTTTGAGAATGAAAGTTGTCAATATCCTTGGGAGTTATTTGTCAATAATTTCAATGCAGATGTTCCTAGGGAATCAGTCTCAGGCAGAGTAACAAGAGAGTGACAAGAGCACAGAGGTTGAAAAGACATTTAAATGACTTTTCCCATTTCCTTTGATTCCTAAGAATCACTTTCCTACCCAAAATCACCAAGAAATGGAGACTAAAAAGGCCCTGGTAAAACTGACAACAGAGCAGGAACTCAGCAATGCGGCCCAGGTAGGTAGAAGAAAGAGCACAATAAAACACCGGAAGAGATGTCATATGAAGAAATGCAGCAGCCTTTCCCCTTCCGTATAACTGCAGGGCAGAAGGAAGACTTTCCTTCATTCCTAAGCCTGTTCACCTTTCCATTCACTGAGGGCTGGGTGTGGGGCCTTGACTGGAGGAAAGAAAGCCTGGCTGACTTCATTGCCACCAAGTCCAGGACAACACTCTTTTTTCTACATTCTTCTTTTTATTTATTTTTTTTTTTCTTGAGAATACTCTTTGCTCTCTGTTATCACTGTGAGCCTAAGATGAACCAGCAACCTAAATAATGGAGACACAGGTGGGCAGAGAATGGGGTTACCAACAAAAGAGTTACTGCACACTCAGAAACTTCCAGTTTGAGTTGAGGCTCATTATTCTCATCCTTTAAAAAAAAATTGAGTCAATCAAATGACACCTTTCTTACACTTATCAGAGAATTAAGGTCACAGTGCACAATGGTCTTAACTGTCACTAGGATATCCGGAAACACAAACATAGAGAAAATAAATATATAGAGAAAAGCAGTTTATTGTCTATATCTATAGAAGTTGCACGTTCCATTAAGTAGTTGTTGTAATCAGAGTTTAAATGGGAAAAAATTTAACACAGGACACATAATTTATAGGATGATTATGATTATTTTTCATCCCGGGAATCCAACTTACAACCTTACACTTGCTTGCCACACAGTAGTTGTGCTCTGAATTATATTCCTATGAGATTATTTTACAATGACCTCTCATAGAATTAAATGCAAAAGAGTTAGGAGATTTGTTTGTACACTAGAGGCTCAAAGAATCCAGCTGAGGTGTTGGATCTGATAGCAAAGTTCTACTCAAGTCCTAGAACTCAAAGCAATGTCATCCACAAATCTAATTGGAGGCCTAGAACCAATAACATCTCACACAAGTATGCATCAGAGATCTGCATTGGGAAGGCCCGAAGGTCACTGCAGAGCCTAGAAAGTCTGTGCCAGTGAGATGAAAGATCTGTGTGTGCAGGCTGAGGGAACTACAGTAGAGCCAGATAGTAAAGCTCAAGGTAAGGACCAGTGCTCCCCCAAAGAGAACCACAGTGACAGTGAGGACAGGAGCTCTTCTGAGGATGAGAACAGCTGAGATCTTACCAGGAAAGCCAGTGTGACATGCTTCATCAGGAAGACAAACAGCACATCATCTTCCCCTCTAATTCTGCTTTTATGCTCTTGGCAACAGACCTCAGGTAGGCCTTCCACAGCTAGCATCATGCTGATTCAGTTCAGCCGGTTGTTACAAGTTATCCATTAGTGAATCTATCACATTGACCACAGTTGTAAGGGCTAATTCAAAATCTTTGTCAGTTGATTCAAACACTGGCTCATCTTGAAGCACTTGCTTGATTTTTACTTGTATATGCATAATGCTACAAGATTGGTGTTCAAATGGTTCTACTGGGGAGTGGGTGAAGCTTCAGAACATGGGACCTAACTAGAGGACCTTAAATTACTGGATGTGTGCCTAGCTTTGTACCTCCTTTTGTGGCCTGAAAGGAACGGGTACAAACAGTGAATACGAAATTATGGGCCAAAATAACCCTCTTCATAAATTAATTATTCCAGACATTTTGTTACAATAATGGTAAATTGAGAAGTCAAGGAATTACATTGTTCAGTTATATTCTATAATATTACATTATGTCAAAACCCACATACATTTCAGTCCACTATCCTGTATGTGATGAAAATATTTCAATCTGTCTCCTGTCAAATGAAAACATTTTTTTGGATAAATGAAAACTAAATCTATAGCAATTAGATCATAAAGAATGTGAGAGAGGAAATGCAAGTGCTTTGTTTAACAAGTTCTGTTATATGCAAAGTGGTACTTGAATGTAGATAATGGATTAAGAGATTAACATATATCTGTGTTTAGTAGTATAAACAGTAAACCACTCCATAAATAGGAAGAGAAAAAATAAATAAACAGGAAGAGCATCATCTCTAAAATCTCTGAGGATACCAATGCCACTTTGAAAGCACCATCAGTTTCTATAGATGTCTTAAAATATACACATATGTATGAGTCAGCATTCCCATTGCTGGACACCCAAAGATTTAAGAAGCAGCATGTGGTGACAGGGCACAGATGAAATTCCAGTCTAGTGATGAATGGAAAATTAGCTCACTTCAACCTCACTGTCATTCCAGTGGATTGCTAAAACCTCTTGTGAGGAATGTCCCATTGCTAGAATATATAATTGGAATAGACATTCACCACATGGCACAATCTCAGCACTTCTGAGTGGGGGCTTATGAGATAGAAAAGGTGAAATGCAGTCTTTACCTAAGAAAAAGTAACACTAATTCCTCAATCGATTATACAATTTAGTGCCACATTAGGGATTTAAAAGATGTAGGAAAGGTGATTCTCACCCCATCTTCTACAAAGTGACTCATTTCGACTGTGCACAAGATAGACTTTAGAAAAGCATAGCAGATTATTGCCAGTTTAATCAGGTGGTAAGTACAATCACAGCTTCCATATCAGGTGTGCTTTTATTCCTTCAGCAAACTAATGCATCAATCTATAGATATTGGTGTAACTCTCTTTACCCAGGCACCTCTGTGATTATCAAATGTATCCATGAACAAAATGAGAGTAGTGCTAGGAATGGAGGTCAGGCATCAACTCAGTAACTCAGCTTCCAAAACTGAGAAGGCTACAGCTATTCCTCCAGTCTCTCAAAAGTCAAGACTATCTCCATTCCAAAAAATACCACTCTCCATGGTGGTCATCCACCATCATGGTTTCAGACTGCAGTACTTCCAGTAGAGCAGGATTAGCATGTTCCTTCTATTAGAATGCATCCTCTGAATATAGACTTGTCTTCCCCACATGCAAATCTTGAGCCAGAACTATTATCCTTAGACTTATAAAATGTCTTACCCTCTATCAAGGTACCTTACACAAGATTGCTTTCTATTCACAGGAAATGCAAGGTGACAGTTGCCTTGTCTACCTTTCTCCTTGCATCCTATTGAAATAGGAATCATAGAGAACTGAGTTTGTGTTCTCTAAATTGAAGAATAAATTCTAGGAACAATGGACCTTTAGAATAGGAAGTATTTTTAAAACAACAAAACCCTTCTGTCTGAGGGACACAGAAGGGATCCCAAGTAGGTGGCCAGGACCCTTCTCAAGAAGCCTTATACAGCAAAACCATGAGGTGAGGAGGACATAAATATTAGGACATAAGTACATTCAACCAATAAAATTACAAGTATAGTCGTGTAGGTAATATTGATCCAATGGAAACTTCACAAGGTGGGTGTGATGTGGGACAAAGCTCTGGTTAGCCAGCCAGTATAGTTGCTTAAGTAATATTCAGTAAATGGAGATAAAACTGGGAAGCAAGTCACATAGCTAGCACCCAAGACCTTTCCCAGAAAGGCTGGGTTAAGGAGGTCTAGTCCCCGACCTGAGGTGATTGAAGCCATTTTAGATTATCAGTCACTGCTGTTCATCCAAAGGGAAGTATGTGGACTAAATCTTTCCACTTTCCTGCAGCCTTCCAGGGAATGGGACGACAACTTCAGTAGTCTTTTGCATTGACCTGTGCAGAGCCCATCCCTGTCTAAGTGCCCAAATATTTTTAAATAGTAGAATAGTATGTGCCACCCAAAAGCAAAACGCAGCTCACAGATCAGAAACAAGAGCAGCCCGTGGCAGGAATTCCGTTAAGGGTCACCTCTTCTAATTTACAATATTTTGCAGGGTTAATATGAATCACGGCAGATAAAGTAAAAAGGTAATTTCTGAGACCCTTGGGAAAAGGAAATGTGGTGGAAGGGGACAGAGGGCAGGTGTGATAGAGGAGGACAGAGAGGGTGGGAGCTGGGATACACAGCATCCATGAGGAGGTCACTGCAGAGCTAATTTGTGGAGGATTTGAGGGGAGGGAAGGAGAATAAAAGAAACAACTACTCTGTTATATACAGGTACCAACTCCCCACAGTGAATGTAATCATAATGCACTAAAAATATGCAGCAGTAAAAGCTTTCAAACCAGTGATTTACACAATTAAGACATCTTGATAATTACAATTTAAAAAATCATTTGTGATAACAAAATATACCGTCGCACAAAAAAGACATTAAAAGAATAATATCCCTGTAAACTGCATCAAACACCTCTCCCCCTCTCCCCTTCTCCCCCTCCCCACCTCTCTCTCTCTCTCTCTCGTCTTTTTCAGACAGGGCCTCACCATGCTGTCGGTTCAGGCTGGTTTAGAGCTCACTTTACAGCCCAGGCTGGTCTGGAACTCACAATCATCCTCCTACCTCACCTACCCGGTGCTGGGATTACACGTGTGCGCCACCCGCCCGGTCATATCAAACATACTTCAAAGCTTCACTAATCAGGACAGTGCCCGAGCCACAGACACTAGGTTGAAACAAGGCAAGAGAATCAAAAAGAGCCTCTTTCTTTGGCAAGCGCTCGGCCAGGAACACCCCGGGACTCACAGAGCCCGCCTGGCACAGGGGCGTCCCACTGGCCCGCAGCCCCACTTCCTTCTCCTGCAGCCACTCGCGCCCCGCCCCCTCCCGCCCCGCCCCGCCCCGCCTCCTCCCGCCCCGCCCCGCCCCGCCCCGCCTACTTTTTTTAGCTTCCCGCCTGGCTGCCTTTCTCGGTGCGTAGGTCCGGGTCGGGAGGCAGGCTGGGTCCCTCTTCTGCCCGGAATCGCGACTCCTCAAAAGGTGTCCAGTCCAATCCTGTGTTAAGCAGTTCGTGGTGGGCAGAGCTCCGAAGACTTACAAGACAAAGCTGCATTTCCTCGGGTGCGTTTCCTTCCTGGTTTTGAACCCTTTCTTGGAGCGGCGGGAAAGGCCAGCTATCACTGCACAGATCTTGAGAGCGGGAAGCGGGGAGGTTTACAGCAGGATTCCCACTTCCTGAGGGATGGCTCTTTCTCCAGGCTGAGAGCCACTCCTCTGCTCCTTCCTCTCCTTGCTAGCCTGTACTTGTGATTTCATCTTGGCCAAGTGTGCCAGGATCTTGACCTGGACAAATAGTCATATCCTCACCCCCTAGACAAAGTTAGACCCCCAAGGATGTTTCTTTTGCAAACTGACACTAGAGGCTTTCGGGGTCACAAAGTCTTTCCACCTGGCTGTGCTCATCCCTGTTTGCCTGGGAGGTGGAGTACTTGGCATGATAACTGACAGTGCTAATTGCTCCTTATTCTCAAAGAAGGTCCCTCAGTGTTTGGTCTCTTGAGAGGTGAGACGTTTTCTCTTCCCTGTAGGCTTATCTGGTACTCCTAACCTAGCAGCCCTTTTCATAGTAGCCATACTGGCATTATCAAAATCTTTGAGATGCTTTATTTCTAGCAACAGGCCATTTGTATGTGTCATTTCTTCTCCTAAACATTTGTCTCCTCTTTAACTCTAATGTCCTTCATATTGTTTTGCTTCTGTTAAAACCTTGTATGTTGTAATTCTAGGATAATAAGTAAGACCCACCGTTTAATTTTGTAACTATAGATATATTTTTCTAGCACTGTTTTTCACTTTTTCTCTTTCTGATTATTAAGTTCCTATGGTTTTCAAGGTGAGTGTCAAGTCCATAACAGTGCTTTTACATCATGTGTGTCCTCTTTTGGGCATCGTCTTTTATTTTAGATTTAAGTCTGGCTGCTAGGACACAACCCATCATTAACAATGATTTCCCAGATGATCACATCTACTATTTGGGGACTTCTCTAAAATACCAAAGTCCAGGTTCTCTAGGATTCTTTTTGTCATGTCATTGACACATGGAATTCTGCAAGCATATTTATGTCATCTCCCTCCCTAGAGTACATATGTACACATACCTTAAGGCTCCTTTCCATGTCCTTGCTAAATTTCAAGGACAAGATAAAATCCTACCGTTTAGAGTCATGATTCTGCAGAACCAATAATATTGAGAAGCCTACTTTACATCCATATTGTCCTGAATGTTTTTATGCCTATGTAGTTACCTGTGTTTTTTAATTCTGTGAGGTAGAGGAGACACTTTTGATTAATTCCAGCTAAGAGTAATGAAAACATGTAGAGGTACCTGGGTGCACAAGCTCAACTTTCTCCACACTTCAGGTTGAACACCTAACTGGATGAGCACTCAATCAGATTCCCCCATAAGGTCAGCATTAAACTTAACAACTGAATTTGATTCTTTTCTCTTCCAATTCAGTTTGCAACCAGCGTCATTCAACCAATCAAGTTCATGAACCAAGTTACCACCATACTGTTTGGAAGTCATTTACAGTTCTATTTTTACATCTTACAAAAGAATTAACTATTTTATCTTATTGAAAATACAAAACTGCATATGAATAGCAAGCAGTAAAACCATTTAGATGAGGAAGTTAGAGCTGCTGTGAGAAGATGACTTGGACAGGAAGTACAAGAATGGTAACATGTTGCTAACAAAGCTATCACATGAGTTCTGTGGTATAAGAAGTTTGGTGGGCAAAGGGTTTAGCTTAGCAGCATAAACACCTGCCTGGCAAGCATAAGGACTTGAGTTTGATCCCTGGTCCCAAAAGAAAAAAAAAGAAGTTTGGTGATTTCAACAGGAGCCTGTGATTTTGGTGGGGGAAAGAAAAGTGAAGATTATGCAAGAATTTTGGTAGAGAAATATACTACATTTATCCTGTGCAATAAAGAAAGGGGAAAATAAAAATCATTCTAGATACAAATTTGATCATATATAAACTGAGACTAAAGTACCTGAAATTACTGTGACATAATTGGTGTGATGGCAGCAGACAACTTTTATTTAACTTCTGGGATTTTGTTTTGTTTTTGAGTTTTACTATTTTGATCTTGATGCCTATGTGATTTTTGCCTACCCAGTATTCATTCTACTCCAATCTTTGTTAATCTGTCCCATTTTAATTTTCCCAACTTCAGGATTCAGAGCAGAAGAAAGCTCAGAGTCAGGACAGAAAGGAGCACAGAACCAGCATCTATGGCTTTATCCATGCTACACAGTGTCAAGGAGGAGGTGACCTGCCCCATCTGCCTGGAGCTCATGACAGAACCTGTGAGCACTGACTGTGGCCACACTTTCTGTAAACCATGTATCACTGCAAACTACGAGTCCAGGGAACATGAACAAGGAGTGAGCCACTGCCCTGTGTGCCGAGTCCCTTACCAGTTTGAAAATCTGAGGCCCAGTCGCCAGGTGGCCAACATAGTGCAAGGGCTCAGGGAGTTGACACTGAGCCCAAAGGTAGATCACTGTGACCTCCATGGGGAGAAACTGCTGCTGTTCTGTAAGGAAGATGAGAAGGTCATTTGTTGGCTGTGTGAGCGTTCTCAGCAGCACCGTGGTCACAACGTGGTTCTCATGCAGGAAGCTGCACAGGAATGTCGGGTGAGAGATCAGGGTTTTGGGAAGATAGAACAGCAAACAATACCTGGGAGAAAACTTCCATTTTGCAGTATCATTTAATTTGTTTGCAGCATAGAACTGAGGTCTGTCATTTCTGTCCATTTCTTTAACTTCTGCAGTCCTATAGACATATTGTACACTCTACTTAATTGCAATAAACAAAGGCTAGAGTGAAAGTTGCTAGACAAAAGCAAAATTGTTTTAACTGTTACTTGATGGCTAGATATTTGGTGTCTACTGATCACCTGTTTAAGCAGAAAAATAAATGAGATGGGTTCAGATACAGATTCTTTCCTTGGTATAGAGTCATTTCTGGGACAGAAAAAAATCAGTCTACACTTGGTAAAGGGGACTTGACTTTACTATTTGAAGACAAATTACCTAGAAAGATTCAGAAAACATTCACCCCTCAGAACAAATTCACCCCACATTGCCTTTTTCTTCGTTTTACTAAATTCAAGTTTCTGCGTAGTTCAACCAGATTTCATGTATATTTATCCACTTTGAGGTGCTGAGAAGGTCATGGCTTGACTGCAATGTGATTCCTCTCTCACAGGAGAAGCTCTATCTAGTGTTGGAGAAACTAACTAAGGATGAGAAAGAGTGTGAGACGTGGAAAGCTCACATCGAACAAGAAAGAACTTCTTGGAAGGCAAGAAATTACACTTGCTAAGGCTGGTAGCCATAAATCTGACAGGATCTTGGGAAAGAAATCCTTTCTTCTTTATTCTCTGGCACTTGTTGAGTCCAGACATTTGATGAGTCCTATGCATGCTCTTCCTTTTGGGAGTGTGGTCTGGAGCAGGACTGTCACCAATGAGTACTGCTGTTGGGAGGGAGGTGATCACACTGAGGGTTCAGGGGAACACAGCTAATGAACGCTGTCCTATGTGCCTGTGGCGGTTGTTGAGACGGACATTTGACAATGGATTGTGATTCTGTCTTCTGTATTCAAGTTCTGGCAGAGAGTGCACAAAGGGAGTGAGGAGTACAGCAGGGAAATGGGAAGTGCTGAATAGCTGGGAGTTGTGGGTGTCCCGTTTGGGGAAGGGGGAACCTTGATGAGGTTGATTTATTTAATGGCAGGAAGAGAAACTCACAGGAACACTGCTTCCCTAAGTACTTCTCCTGGGCTGGAGATACGGCTTAGTTATACAGTGCCTGCCTGGCAAGGCAAAGTTCTGAGTTTGATTCCATGTATACACACTCCCCCACCCCCACCAAAAGAACTTCTTCCCTCCCTTCTGAGAACTTCCCAGTGAAAAGAATTAATTTTGCTGGCTTGCAACCTCGCATGACAGAGTATGTCTTTCTTTCTCATCCCTGAAGCGTCAAATACAGGGGGAGATAGAAAGTGTCCAGACTGCGTTCAAGCAAATGAGAGCCACGCTGGACTCTGAGGAGGAGATACAACTGCAAAAACTGAAGACAGAGGAGGAAGGTATTCTGAATGGCCTGGCCGAGTCTGAGAGGGAGCTGACCCAGCAAAGCCAGCTGGTGAGAGAGCTCATCTCAGATGTGCAGCATCGGCTGCAGGGGTCAGTTATGTCCATGCTGCAGGTAAGACCTTACAGGAAGTTCCACCTTCTGAGATCCAGAACAGATGGAAATTATTTCCCTCTCTCTTCTATTGCCATACTTTCGAGTGATAGTAATAAAGTCTTTTGGGCTAATGAGTACCACACTGAAGTAATTCAGTTCCAGAGTTTATGGGAATAATGGCATATATATATATATATATATATATATATATATATGACCAAGAATTCCATTTCAATTCTTTATTTTATTTGGTACCAGGGATTGAACCCACAACCTTGTGCTTTTTTGTGTTAGGAATTTTGTGTCAGGATCTGAGTCCCTCATGCCTAGCAGGGTTTGAACTTGCTATCCTCCTGGCTGTCTTCAGTGTGCTGGAGTTGCACACATGGCCCACCACACCTGGGTTTCCTCTTTTCTTTAGTTGAAATTTGTCGTTTTTAAGACCCAGCAATCATGTAGTAGTTAAGCACCCTACAGTGAGGTGTGTACCCTTCTTCCCGATTGAAAATTGTTTTTAGACACATCTTCAAGTTCAGCCAACCTTTCATCCACTATCTTTTTTGTTTTGTTTTGTTTTTTGTCTTTTTCCTTTTTATCAGTACCAGGGATCAAACTCACGACTGCCTGCTTGCAAGGCAGACACTTATGCCACTAAGCTAAATCCCCAGCCCCGATCCACTATCTTAATGTGTTGTTAAACGCATCTAGTATTATTTTGTTGTATTATTTTACTTAAAACTCTAAAAAACTTTCATTTTCAAACATGTCTTCTCCATCAAATCTCTACTTTGAGTACTTTTTCATGCTTTACTTCCTCTAGCATAGAGTTCTCTACACTTTTAACCTAATTAGAATAGTTCCTTGGGAGTCTTTCTTAAATCCAATATCTGGGATCACTGTTATTTCCAATTTATTCTGTTCATCATTTCCCACTGTCTCTGGGTTGTACATCATTTTTTTCCTTGTATTTCTCATTAATTTCAGATGTAAAATTGATTTTTTTTCTTTTTTGTTTTCATACTGGGAATTGAATTCAAGCCCTGGCACATGGCAGGCAGGAACTTATGTCATTGAGCTTTATCCCTGATTCTGCCTGGTTTTACATTTTTGTTTGTTTGTTTGGGTTTTTTTTTTAACTGTTTAGTAAGATTTTATTACTCTTGCTTCTTATTCTTCCTTCCTAAAAAAAGATAGTTTTTCCTCTCCTATATAGTTATATTCCTTTAGTCAATGTCTCTGCTGAGTTTGAAGATAAAGACCCATTTCTAAGGGTGGTATTCTAGATTGGCCTTTAGTGTCAGTGTATCCTTAGGTGACATCCACACTTACACAGAGGCTGTGCACCATTCCCATTAAGTTTATTGCCCACATGGATGCCCATTTAGGTAGGAGAATACATTCAAATTGTAAGCTACAGCTCTAAGAGAAGCAACAGGCAGCCTTGCCCCTGCACACACACAGGGCAAACACTGATAAAGCTTCAGGCAGGTAACCAGCACCAACCAGGAGAAGCAGCAGCCAGCTTTGCACCTACATACACACTAGCCACCAGTGCCCATAGAGAGCAGGACCAAGAGAACAGATCAGCCATGCTTCAGAGAAGTCATAGCAGATGCTGCAAGTGCCTGGGAACCCATAATTATCCATTGAGAGAAAGCCAGGAGAATGTCAAGACAAAGAAGCAAAAGGCAGTCTCTGGCCTCCAGTCCTTGCATATCAACTCCAGAAGACATAGACATGGAAGACAATAGAAGTTACATACCTAAAGTTTCTGAAGTGCTGCAGACTGAAGTCACGAAAGAACTTTATGAGGCTATAAAAGAAATCAGCTCAGAAGTAATATCTGAGGTAAAAGAAGGAATGGAAAACATAATAAAAGATTTGCTGCAAGCATCTAAAAAGAGATAGATTTTAAAAACAGGGGACCTTAGAAAAATGAGGGAAAGCATGAATGGAAGAAAAAGATTGAAAGAGATATCCAGGAATTAAGAACTCCACTGAAAATTGGCTTAGACACTTGAAAGAAACTGAAGATAAACTTTCAGATCTTCAAGACAGGTTTGAGCTAGTGATTGTGAAAGGAAACAGCTCTTCAAAATAATAAGGAACCAGGAAGTAATAATGGGAAGGCTGCAAGATGATGCAAGGAAAAATAACCTAAGAGTGATAGGGATCAGTGAAAGAGGAGGGGTCAACACAAATGACATTAAAATAAAACTACAGAAGTAATAGCAGAAATCTTCTCATCCACGGAAAAGAAACTGACATACAGATACATGATGCATATAGAACTCCAGCAAGTCATAACCAAAATAAATGTACACCCAGACATAAGATCCCAGAAATTCAGCACAAGGACAGAATAAGAAACATCAAAAAAAGAGGAAAAACCATGAGAACCACAGCAGCCCTCTCAACACAAAACATCAATGGAAGAAGAACATCAAGTGTTTCAAGTTTTGAATGAAAACAACTTCCAACCCAGATTGACGTACCCTGCAAAGCTACCTTTCACAGTTAATGGAGAAGTAAGATACTTCCATGACAAAGAACAACTGAAGGAACTCATGACCACCAAACCAATCATGCAGATAATACTGAAGGCTATTCTAGAGAAAGATAGAAGTGATCACAGCCCCAGAAATAGTAGCAGAGTGTGATGGTTGAGCAGGATAAACAGTTAAATAGACAGGGGAGAAAACTAGGGAGTCAATGGCAGAAAAATAACAAATCAGAGACAAGCCAGTGCATGTTGACTATGACTTATTAACTGTATGGCCTCAGTTCAGGAATTAAAAGAAACAGGCCAGCAGATCAAGAAACAAAGTGCTTCAATATGTGGAATTGAAAAAACATTTAGTTTGAAAGACAATTCATAAACTAAAAGTCAAAAGAAAACAATTCTGCAGGTGACAGGGTACCCGAAAAATGCTGGGATATCTTGCCCATCAACTGATAATGTCATTTTTATTCAATGGAAAGCTACTCAGCTATAACAAAGTGTAACCCCGAGGCTCTTATGGGTAAATGGATGCAACTTGAGATCATGCACGTTGGTGAAATGGTTCAGACTCACCTGGGTGAATATTGTGTTTTCTCCCTGGTGAAAAGAAAACTGAAGGACTTAGTGGGATCTAAAATGGACAGTAGGTATTATGAAAGTGAAAGGGGAGGAAACATCTAATAAAGAGAGTTGGTAGCCATTGTTAATTTCAGATTGTTTTGAAGTCCTGTATTATTTTCATGGTTCTGTTTTGTTTGGTGGTATTGTTTTGTTTTTTTTTATTTTATTATATGTGATGATATGGATAGCTTTTTTGAAGATAACAGGATACATTATGGTAGTCACTGTTGATTTCCTGTCATCTTGTTTTAAAACGCTGTATCACTTTTGTTGTTTTGTTTTCATTCATTTTATTCTGCTTTGTTTTTTGTTTTGTATATATATATATATATATATATCTGCTGGTATAGGCAGCTACTTTGAATATAACAGAAGGCATTGTGGTAGCCATTGTTGACTTCCTGTTATCTTGTCTTGAAGTCGTATATCACATTGTTTGGTATTGATTGACTATTCTGTTTTGTTTTGTTGTTTTCTCTTCAAAGTAAAAAAATTAAAATTAAAAAAAAAAAAGAAAGATACAAACTCGAGCCATTTTCAAGCTGGCCATACCTTACCTGATGCATTCTATGCTCCTCTTTTATTCTTATGGGTGCATCTTTAGCTTGTTCAGAATTATGTGCCACGTAGTCCTCATTTAGCAAGTATATCCACTTCCTGTGTTTGTAGGAGTAACACAGGTGGATTTTAAGATGGTAGCTGTTGTGATGCAGACAGGTGTCATATATGCTCCACGCTTTTTGTAAAGCTTAGTTAAAGCTTTGTTAAAGCTTCCGCAAAGTTTGTATCAGGAGAGTCCCATTGCCTTCATGTCCTAGGAATAAAGTCCATGTGGATGGAAAACTTGAATTTCAAGAAACTGCTAGACCCAACTGTAAAAGATAACATTGAGCTATTAAACTCAGCAGTTGCCAGAGTTATAACTTCCTGCAACAGACCTGTTTTACTTCTAAACATAATTTTCTTTAGTTTATATAGAATTTTGTTTGGGTTATACTACCTTATTGTGAAGAGCAAACTCTGTACATGTACTTAGACCCAGCTAGTGGCTTATTTTTTGTGTAGACTTACAGGGAAGAAGGACATCTAGGGCAAGAGCAGCAAGTACATTCCAGATTTCTGTCCAAACAAAGGTGTATCTGCAATGGTAAAATGAATAAAAACCGTGAAGGATAAGGCCTGAACTGGGCTAGTACAGCTGGAATACAGGGTGAATATTACAAATTTTAGGAGAAAGAATTGTGAGAAAGAAGGCCTCATGGTTACTATTCAGTATTACACATCCTAGTGTTTATTTTATGGCTTCATTATTGGTGAGATTGGGCATGTTTGGGGAGGTATGGCCATAGACTTCTTCATTACCGAATATATTAAACTGCATTTAACTGACAAAGCTAAGTAGAAGTAGATTTGGAAACAATTTCCTGTATATGTAATTCAAGTAATGGTTAAGTCCATTTGAGTTAATATGTAAAGTCAGAAGAAATCCTTGTTAAAATACTTGTTTACATGTCCCCTCAGCAAAAACCATATAAATATTTCTGGCATTATTATTTGTTTATATTTGATTCTGCAAGGCATATTCATACCCTGAAATTATAGTATGCATGTGTAATATAAGCAAAAGAACCACTTATTAATTTAAACCATCTCATGGGTAGCGACGGGTGGTTGGATTTAGTTTTATCGTAACTCTGTTCTCTTTCATACTGTAAAATCTCCATTTCCAATGTATCAGGTGCTCCTTAGAATGTGATGAAACTTTGTAAGTGAGGAAAATCTATTATTTTTCACTGATGTTCTTTTTTCTCACTAGGATATGAAGGACACAGTAGAAAGGTACGTGAGTGATGGCAAGGACTGAAAGTTTGTACAAAAGACTTGTGATTATTAAAATTAAGGAATGTTCACTGGGAATAGAACATTTCCAAGGTGAGGGTATTTTAGGTGCAGTGCTACATAAATGACTTGTCGTAGAGTTTTAGTGTTTTGTTACTATTGAGAATAAACTGCAATGGACCAAATTATATAGTAGGAATTTGATTTGCAGAGTCATGGTATAAATAAGTAGTGGAATTAAGCCTAATGTGTTACATCATCAACTTTCTTGCTGTCACCATTTTATTCCCTGTGTATCTCCCTAGCTCTAGGCTTCAGATTTAATAGGGGCTTGATTTATTGTAGATGGAATACATCTTCCATACCAAGTGGCAAGAGTTGTCCATTAGAATAATGCCTACGTAAAGTATTTATATTTTGCTCCTGAAAATGGTAGAGATTACTTCCAGAAACCTGAGTGTGAAACAGAATTTTGGCCCAGCTGCAAACAAATGAAGCACCTTAGTCTCATCATTGAGGAGAATTTGGGAAGATCTCATCCTGCTGGCTACAACTGCATACCTGCCTGGCAGCATCAGGCTTTTCCAAACTCACGGAATTCAGATCAGTATTAATTTGGTTTTGTGAAGGTTTGCAATTTTTCCCAGGGGTTTTGGGGGCTTGAAACATTAGGTGATCTCTGAAGACCTTTCTGTTGACAAAGAACTTTGCAGTTCTCCAGGTGGGGTTCCTTCTCATACGCACAGACCCATAAGAGCCGGGTGTTGCAAATATACATACTGATCCATTTCTCAGGAACCCACATCCATGTCAGAACCTCTGCCATGCATTAGTTTGTTTTTTTTAATTGTAGGCAGCAGTTGTTTTTTTTTTTTTTAAATCCATCAGAAAGGAAAACTCTGTTTCTGACCAGTTTCAATCTTCCAAAGATCACACAGAAAGACTGAGAAGGCAGGTATGTTTCTTAGGACATAGGATCAGTAAAGAGTTTGCCTTGATCCTTCCTAGGATCCCCAGGGAAGAATTCAAGTGTAAACATGAGCAGTGCTGGGCATGGTGGTGTATGTCTGAAACCCCTGCACTTGGGAGGATGAGACAGAAGGATGGTTGCAATTTTGAGATCAGCCCGAGCTATAAAGTTAGTTCAGTGCCAATCTGAACTACATAGCAATAGCCTGTCTCAAAAAGACAAAGAATGAAGAAAAATTAGATGAAATGATAGATGTGAGTCGTGTTTGTGAAACAAGCAAGTATAAGATGTGGAGTTCACTGTTCTTCCCTTCTTAGGAGTAGGTTATTGACTGTGAAGCAACCGAGAACTTTTCCCAAGGAACAGCGGATCACGTTCCAAGCTCCTGATCTGAAAGGGATTCTCCAATCACATCAAGGTGAGTAGAGCTAAGTGGATGATGATCCATGCCTGCCTATAATCCTGGCTGCTCAGCAGGCTGAGGCAGAAACATTACATGTTCAAGTTCAGTCTGAGCCTTTTAGCATGTTAAGGAGACTGTCTCAATGTAAAAATTTGAAAGGGATGGAGATGTGCTTGATGGAAGACCACTTACTTAGCATACAGCAGGTACTGGGTTCAATTACTAATACCACCCATATGGGAAGAGAGTGTAATGAGGAAAGGTAGGCTACGTGTCTGATTATAGGATTCTAGAAAGATGAGGAGCTAAGTGAGAGCGTAGTGTATGTACTGGAGACAAGGGAAAATTAGTGTCTGCTGATGACGTGATCGTCTTATTGGGAACTGACCATACATCCTCATTCACCAGTTCACTGACCAAGTGTAGTCTGTTGCCTTCTGGCATACTGGAGAGGAAAAAGATGGGAATGTGACTCCTTTGTCTACATATAGTGTTATGAGTTTTTGTCATTTCAAATTTAATGGATGTCAGTAGTTGAGAGTTGAACAGCGAATTCCAAAGATGCCGCCCAAAGGAAAGAGTTGTGCTGGAAAAGGTAGGGGAGGGGTGAGCAGCCTCTGGAGTGATAGTGCTGACAAGAAGGCTAAGGGTTCCAAAGGTGGTGGCAGTGCAGTAAAGGTCTGGCACAATTTATGTGACAAACCAGCAAAAGTATGGAAGACATGGAGTAGTTAAATTCAAGGAAGTGGCTGCACAATATAGTGAAGATAAAGCCAGGAAAGAGGGTAACTTGGGTTGGATGACCAGAGGGTCCACGGTAGGACCACTTCAAGAAGCAGCGTTTGCCTTGCCTGTGAGTGGAATGGATAAGCCTATCTTTACAGACTCGCCAATTAAGACAGAATTTGCATATCATATTAGTATGGTTGAAGGGAGAAAATAAAATTATACAAAGTTAGTGGATGTACTGATACAATATCATCTTACTCTGAAGGCCTACTATGCTGTTGATCTTTGTTTCCATTGGCTCTATCATGTACCTTATTGGATTGTATTGCATGTGAAAGTATAAAAAAATTTCCTATGGAAAAATGAGATACTATAGTAGCCATTGTTTGTTTTCTGTTATTTGGTTCTAAAAGCCCTGTAATACTCTCATTCTCTTGAATGTTTTTATACCATTTTGTTATGTTTGATACTATTATATATGAAGTCATACTCAACTATTTCAAAGAAAGAGACATCGTGGTGGCTACTGTTAATTATCGGTTGTCTTCTGGTGAAATACTGTATTGCTTACATTGTTCTGTTCTGATCTACTCTGTTATGTCCTGTTTTGTCTTAATCTCTTTAAAATTTAAAAAAAAAAAAGATAGTGGATGTCCAATGCTACTGTTAAAGGGAAATCATAGTTTCATAAGCCTTCCTCTCTTCAATATATTTCATACTTTATACCTCGTATTTTGATACTTATATTTCTCCTTTTCACACACACATGCAAATGTACTGCCCCTCCTTCAGACTACTAAATCAACTTCCTTCTAGTTCTTTTTTAAAGTCTTCGCAATGATGCTCTTGTAACATCACACATGGTATATTATCATGTCCTATTGTAATCCCGAATACTGCGTATTATAACCCAGGTATTGGAATTCCTTCTTCAGTCTTCCTCACAATCCAAAACATTATATTTATAATCCTATTGAGATGTTACTGGAATCCCACCAAGTTAATTCTGATCTACCACCTCCAATGCAACTCAAGGTGAGAGTAAAGGCACCAAGACATATTCAAAGTTAAGGGCAGCCAAGGGATCCTAAGCCCAATGCTAGTAACGATATGCAGACAAAGGCCCTGACCTAAGGCCTCTCCCAGAATTCATTATCTGGTGAAGAAGGAGGTGGCTTCAGGATGAGTGATGGTGAGGAAGGCAAGAACTACATGAGTAACTTGAGCTGCCTAGCCAGGTGGGGTGAAAAGCATATTTGCAAAATGCAAGGACAATGACATGTAGAAGGTTCAATCTGCAGAATTCAAATAAGGTAGCAACTGAATTGTATTGGGAAAGTGTTGCATTAGTTTCTGATAAGTAAAGTTTTGGCCCTGGGGAGTCATAGCCTCTTGCTTTGAAGCTCTTACCCAGCTGACATTCCCAGAGCTGATGGCTCTGCCATCCCATTGAGCTCATCTTTTACAGAGAGCACTATGCACAGAAATAGGAGACTTTAGAGATTTCATATCATTACCTTGGCTAGCCTTATTTGCAATGCATATAGTCAATTGAAGAGAAGGGAAATACCATAGTCCGCTCTGTACATAATCAGTATATAGAAATAAGCCTCAGTATAGCCAATGTTGCAGCAGTTGTTCTGGACTGGAGAGGTGTTGCTCAAATTGTCTCCTACAATGCCCTTCACCAACTTTTTTAATTTTTCCACAGCTCCTGTGACACTGACTCTAAGCCACTATCCAAGTGGTTGTTTTTCTGTATCTAGCAAACCGAAAAGAAAACCACACCAATCATCTGGATTCTCATTCCTAAGCACAACTCAAGGCACAGTCCGGAACAGCACAAGTCAAGTCAACACACATTACAGGAATAACACCCCCTTTAACTTCAGTTTTCCACATTAGCAACCTAAACATAGCTCCTGGGTCATAGGGCTGCTGGATAAAGTCAAGTCCATGCTTCTGGGGAATCTGAAAACTCTGATCCCTGGTCTCTGGCCCTTTTGCTGCCTGTTCCTCCAAGTTGTTTGGGAATTTTTCCAGACTGTCACACTGCCTCATTCTACAGTGTGACTGACCATGGATTTCTCCTCTAAATTCTCTCAGTGTTCCTTTCCTAGTAATGTTGTTCCATTTGTCAATCCTGAAGGATGTTCAGAGCCTGTGGCATTATGTGGGCCAAACATGTGACCTTTCTTAAACCCTCTCCCTCTTCCCATCCATCCCTCTGGCTGAGGTGTGCATCTCCTGCCTCTGAGTGCCCTGCTCCATTTTAACTACTTGTCTCCTCGTCTTCCATTTGGACGTCCTTCACTCACTGTGGGATCTGTGCATTCTCTGGCACCATTTTCTTCTCAATTCATCATTTGCTCAGGAAAGAATCTTTATTACTTTCCACATTCCCAAGGAAATGACTGAGTCCTCTTAACAAAGACCACTACTGAGGTAACTGCTGGGCCCAATTTTTACAGCCTCATTCTCTGCCACTGAGAAAAGATGAAGGAAAGTGTTCACCTAACTTTCTGTACACTGAAAACTATGCATTGGAGTGTTATCACTAAACAATGAGCCTTAGGAGTAGAGTAGATCACTTTCATCCAGGGATTAAAAAAAGTCTCATACAATTGTGTCATCGGTGTTTTTCAAACAGGACAGGAACTAAGAGATGCTGGTGGGGAGAAGGGAACATCAGAAAATCACAATGTTTTATATCTGTGTACCGTCTCCCTATGATGATTTTAACATTATATACTGCAAATGCATATTAATAAAAAAAATTTTAAATATTATCTTTGATGTATACTCCAGAAAAACAATGTTGTTTTCATAATATCCTTGTTCAAATCCTATTTCTGCATATCTGAGCAGTGTAACTTTGAATAATATGCCTAGCTGCTCTGTGTGTTTTCTTTTAAGAGTTTTGCATAAGCATTGTACCAAATAAATTTGATCACTGTGAGAATAAATTGAGTAGAAGCACCTACTGAAGTGTCTCAATAAATACTTGTTCTAGTAATAATAGAAAAACAAAAACCACAATAAATAATTCCAGTAGTCAGGAGACTGAGACAAGAATCAGTGAGAGTTCTAGGCTAGCCAATGCTACATAGTGAACTCAAGGCCAACCTGAACTATACAGTGAGACCCTGTCTCAAAAAAAAGCGGTCACCCTGTCCCATGGAAACAGGTTACCCAAAGGGGAATTACAGCTGACTCTAGTGAAGCCTCGTTTTGGTATCATTATCAACTCTACTAATATTATGCCATATATATTTTTTCTCAAAACTTTATAGAATGTTGGGTGCATGTATAATACTGGTATTAACCACATATTGATCCCCATGAAGTACATTCTGTAGGAATCTGGTTACTATTTACAATTAATAAAGAAATAATAGTGAAATTTATCTCATAGCATTTTAAAAACCAAACAACACACATACTTTTAAGTGATTGGCACTCAAGTAATATCCCAGCTTGGTGTCTAAATTTTTGGCTCATTCTCATTTGACTAAAATAAATGATTTTAAAGCATGTGTATCAGTTGACTTATGGAAACTTCACACACACACACACACACACACACACACACACACAGTTTTTCTAAAATTAGAATACAGATAGAGATCACAGATTTAGAACTTAGGATATAGCTCAGTGGCACAATGCCTTGTAGCAAGTATGCTTCCCAGTACAAAAAAAAAAATTTTTTTATTAGCAAGTTGGATGTTTTTGTTTATTAAATGAGTGTTTCTAACTTCATAGCTACCTAGGCCATGTGGAATAAATCTCAACAATAGTGTGTTGAGTTTTGTTTGCCCTGCTTAGCTTTAGTAATTCCACTGAGGTAGAAGGTTCTGGTATTTCAAATCAGTGAGAAGAAACTTTTGTTCTCCTTCAATGAAAGAAAAGGAGAATTGTGCAGTGAATACAGTGGTGAGAACTTCCTATATTTTTACACTTAGATCTCCATCTCTTCCTGAGCCTAAGGTGAACTAGTCACCTGAAAAATGAGACAGCTAGGCAGAGAAAGGAATTGCCAACAAGAGTTACTGCAGACATAGAAAAGAACATCAGAAACTCCCAGTTTGGGTTCCAACATGTATCAGGCTTGATACTCATTGCTCTCATTCTTTAAAAAAAAAAAAAAATTGAACCAACTAATCTCAACAACTTTGCTTAGACTCATGAGAGAATTAAGGTCACAGTGTACCATGACATTAATTGCCACAATGATATCTTGAAACATACGGGAAATAATATAGAGACGAGAGTTCATTATCTATATTCATAGAAGTTGCATGTTACATAAGTTGGTTGTTATAATCAGAGTTTACAGGAGAAAAGATTTAATACAGGACACTGAATTTAAAAGATGATTTTATAATGACTTCCCAAAGAGTCAAATGTGAAAGAGTTCAGGAAATATGTCCAAACCATAGAGACCCACAGTATGCACCTGAGAGCCTGGATTCCCTGGCAACATTCAGATTCAGTGCAGGTGGAGACTTACAGCTCAAAGCAATGTCCTCCACAAGTCCAACTGGAGGCCTAGGACCCATGAGGTTTCATACAAGTCCATATCAAAGATGTGCATTGGGTATTGGGGATTTAGCTGAAAGGCACAAGCACCTGCCTCACAAGCATGAGGTCATGAGTTCAATCCTCAGTACAAAAAAAAAAAAAAAAAAAAAAAAACAATGAATCCATGTTTAGCCAGGCATGGTGGCACACTCTTGTAATCCAGCATTTGGGAGGCTGAGGTAGGAGGATCATCACAAGTTTGAGAGAAGCATGGGCTACAAAGCGAGCCGAAAGCCAGCCTGAACCACATAGCAAGATTCTGTCTCAAAAAGACAAAAATTTTAAAAGGATCTGCATGGCAAGGTCCAAGAGTCGGTGGTGGAAGCTAGAAAATTTGCAACAGGGGGATGAAGGATCTGTGTGAGCAAGCTGAGGGAACTACACTGGAGACAGGAAACAAAGCTAAACATAAGGACCAATGTTTCCCAAAAGAGAACTGCAGTGACAGGACCTGAGGTACTCTGACGGTGAGAACAGCTGAGTTCCTATCAAGAGAACCAACATGACAGGAGGACCAACAGGACACCAGCTTCCTCCACAGTTCTGATTTAATGCTCTTGGCAACATTCCTGAAGTGGACCTTCTACACACAGAACCACACTGATTCAGTTCAGCTGAGTGCTACAAGTAGACTATTGGTTAATCTACCACATTGACCACAGTTGTAAAAACTAATTTAGAATCTTTGTCAGTTGAATTAACATCTGGCTCATCTTCAAAGAGTTGCTTGGTTTATCCTTGCATATGGGTAATGCTAGAGGATTGGTCTTCAAGTGGTTCCATAGGAAGTGGGTGAACCCTCAGAAGATGGGGCTTAATAAGAAGTCCTTAGATAAATGAGGTGTACAGGTTTGCACCTCCTTTTGCTACCTAACAACAGTGAGTCCACCCACAATGTGAATACTCAAGTTATCAGCCAAAATATCCCTCTTATTTTCGTAAGTTAATTATTCCAGGTATTTTATTATAGTAATGGAAAACTGAGAAGTCAAGGAATTACATTTTTCAATTATATTATATAATGTTATATTAAAGCTCACATATTGTTCGTTCCACAATCCTGTATATGATAAAAATGTTACAGGCGGTTGAGCTAGTTAGAAATATTATAGGCAATCAGATAGGGCTGGGCTCTCCATCAAAGGAGCCAGAGCAGAGTTGAGATATCTTGCAGCCTTGGAAGAGACAATCACCTCTTGCTGTGGACCAGAACTCAAGACAAAAGGCACAGCAAATACAACCACATCCTATGGATCCACAGTCCAAGGTGTTCTTTATTACCCTGAGGAAGTCAGGAGTCAGCATCCCACCCAGCAACAGGAAGAGTCACTGCTGTTAAGCGGGCCCAATTACTATGTGACCCGCTCCCTCATTTGCTCCTAATTTAATCAATTTTACCTGAGCAATTAATCCTATTGGTTGACCACAGTTCTGTCCCGCCTTATGCCCAAATTGACAAGCTCCTATTTTCCCCCACCTTTGACTATCTAACCTTATGATTTTACTCTATAAAAGTCCCTAGAAAAGAAAGAGTCCCTGGCAACCCGCTCGAGACCCCTTCTTTCAGATAGAGGCTTTCTTTCTCTCAATAAATATATTCCACTCTTAACCTCTGTTGTTCCTAAAATTCACTCTTCGATTTTAGTGAACACGAACTTGTACTGGACATACAGTAGGATGGGAGTTTCATTCCCCTGTATCAAAAATATTTCAGTCTGTCTCCTGTTAAATGAAGATATTGTTTTCAGATAAGCTAAAACTAGCAATTAGAACATAAAGAATGTAAACAACGAAGTGGAAGTGCTCTGCTTTATAAATTCTATACACAAGGTAGTACTTAAAGGCAGATCATGGGTTAGGAGACTAACATATATCTCTGTGCCGGGGCCTAACTAGTAAACTGTTTCTATTGCTGTCTTAGAATGTATAAATATGTATGTCATCTTTCCCATTGCTGGACACAGTACTGGAAAACCACAGATTGAAGGAGCAGGGTGTGGTGATGAGGCACAGCTGAAATCTGAAAGGATTTTGCCCTGGACACTGCAGCAGTGGGAGGCTGAGAGGCTGAACCAAGGGGCTCTGTCTTGAGGTTACCTTCCCCGCCCCTAGGCAATTTACCTGTGGCCCGAAATGAGTTCCAATGGGGCTACTTGTGCATCAGTAATGCCCCTTAAGCACAACCCAAGATCAAAGCTATATGTATGCCCCCACAGCACATACCCAGCAGAGAGAAAAGCCAGACCTCAGTGATGGAGGTGGTGGGGGGGTTCTCTCCATATTCTTAGAATAAATGTCACTTTTATTTCATATTTCTATCTTTCTAGCCATGCCAAAAATGCTATCAAAATCCAGTGATGGATGATGGTTGGAAAAATAGCTCACTTCTGCCTCACAGTGGTTTCAGAGTCCCTGACACCATCCTATGATTCTCATCCCAGTGCTGGAATACATAATTGGATTAGACAATCAGCACATGGCAAAATCTCAACATTGGTTTTCTCACTTGTCCAATGAGGGCTCCTAAGAGAGAAAAGGTAAAATTCAGGCTGCTGGATCTGACTTTTCACCTGAAAAAGTACACAAAAGTAGTAACACTAATTTCTCCATTCATCATACAGATTAGTGTCGCAATTAAGGATTTAAAGAAGGCAGGAGTGGTGATTCTCACCTCATCCTCTTCAAAATGACCAGTTTACACTGTGCAGAATAAATATCACAAGGCAGGTATGAGGTGGCACAAAACTATGGTCAGCCAAGATTATAAGAGTAGTCACTTAGATAATACTGAAGAAGTGGGGATTAAATAGGGAAGCAAGTCACACAGCAAGCTCACAGGGGAAGGACAATGACTTTCCTGGATGGGGTGGGTTAAGAAGGTTTTGGTCTTACACCCTGATAGAATTTTCGGCATGACTAAAAAGATAAGAAGTATGAAATAAAAGTGGCCTTTATTTTAAGAATGTGGAAAGGGATTCCATGACCTCCCCGGGGTCTGGCATTCTCTGGGCCGGACAAGTGGTGTGGAAGCATACATGTAGCTTAGGTTTGGGGTGGAGCCTAAGGGGCATTACTGATGCCCATTGGAATTCATTTCCCGCCACAGGTAAATTGCTTAGGGGTGGGAAAGATGACCTCAAGATAGAGCCTCTTGGTTCTACCTCCCAGGCTCCCACCGATGCAGCTTCCCATCAAGAGCAAAATCCTTTCACACCCAAGGTGGTTGATGCCTATTTAGAATATCAGTCACTGCTATCCATCTCTAGAGGAAATATGTGGGCAAAATCCTTCCACTTTTTCCTAAAGCCTGGTCGGCAGTGAATGGGACTCTAGCCACAATTCTCTTCTGCACTGACCTGCCCAGGGCCCTCCCATGTCTAACTGCCCACAGTATTTTTA